AGCCCGTGAAGTACTAACAAGCCACCTCAATTAACACAATAATTTGAGGTTGTGCAGTTATGTCCTTGCATTGCGGGATGTTTTGAACGATAATAAATATTATTTTTAAAAATTTATTTGTAATAATAGTTTATCAAAACAATCTAAAATATTAAAAAAATTAACTTAAAACTATTTTTATTTAAATTAACAAAACAATAATTACTGCACCAAAACTTTTAAATATTTTTTCTTTATTAGTTGAGATCTTAAATTATAATGTAGTTGAGTTAGGAGCAATAATCAAAACTATCGAATTATTAACCTCTAATTACTTCTTACAACATAAATATATTATTATTGTATTTAATTTTGTCAATGTCATTAACTAGATAAATAATTTTTATAATAAATCTTGAATTCATCATAAATTTTTCTCTTTAGCTTAGAGACTAACATCATATTTTAATTCAATTATTTATATTTATTTTTACTAGGAAAGTAACTACATGACAAATCATCTTGCTAAACAAAGAAGTGCGTATAATATTTAATTTTGTTGTTTGGTTATAATCCTTTTAGATAATATGTCGATATTATATTTAGCCTCTACAACTTATAATATTTTGAGATTATGATTTAGTTACTATATAAAAAAACAGATAATAATAAAATTTTAACTGACCTAAAGTCTATATTTTTATGTTTAGCTAGTTAGTTCAATAAATTTTTATTTTATAAAATATAATTATATAATACAATTATATCTTATTTAATTTTATCAATTTTTTTCAAAAAAACAAAATACCAAGCCAAAACAGGAGTACATTGCATTGCCCCTACACCATCAAATTCTCGATTGTATTGTATCAACCGTTACACTATAAAATCCAGGATGCCCTTGATAAATTAAATAGTTTAAACACGAATCGAATCAGAGTAGGTGTCCACCTTTTGCCCCTACCATAAATAAAAATATGTAGCCTTCAATTTCCAGTTCATGATGATTGGATTCCAAACCAAATGCTTCGTATCGTTGAATAGCCTGTAAATTTTTTAAACTTTCAAGAACACTAGGGCTTAGGCTTGATGTAACAACGAAGGAAAAACGACGGAGCCCTTGTTGATTTAAGGGACATATGAGTTGAATGAATTCTAAATTATAGAGTACTAGATGTAGTTGTAAAAAAGAAAAGAAAAGAAAAAACAGAGAGAGAGAGAGCATGATTTGAGTAATATTTCTTTCGTTTTTTTATTTACTGTAGCAATTGATTCCAAAAAAGAATTCTTTGATTTTTTTTTAAGAATTTTACTACCAAACTTCATAATACTACCTCTCACTCAGGAAAAAAAATCATCACAGGAATTTTATTTTTTATATATATATATATATATTTCAAAAACCAAAAGAATTTTTTTTTTCCTTTCATGGCATAGGTTCATTGATTTTCTATGAGTTGAGTATAAATTTTAATCTTTTCTAATTTATAATTTTTATGTTTTTTTCTATGATGACTACTTGTTCTAGAAACGAGAGGGTGTTTTTCTTTTTTTTATCATAATAAATTCTAGTTTATTTATTTCAATTTAAATACTTCTAAGAGATTAAGATATTTTTGTTCCGAGATGCAAATACCAAAATCATTAAAAATAAAAAATATTATTCATATAAATAATTACAATGATATTGTTTTTTATTATTCAAAAAATAGGAAGGTAGGTAGGTTACATCACATGCTATTTGAAAACAAAATTGTGGTTACATCACATGACCCCGCATGAATTTGGAATACAAACTTGGATGTACTTTGAGAATGATTACACTGTATTTTTGAATTTTTGAATTTTTTTAAAATAATTTTAAATTAATATTTTTTTATCGTTTTAATTTGTTTATATATATAGACACACACTCTGCTTTGTTAAAAATTTGACAAGCTGTCAGGGCTTAGGCATGATGTGACAACAAAAGAACAAGGCAGTCCTTGTTGACTTATGGGATATATGAGTTGAATTCTATATATAGAGCAATAGCTATGGTTGTAAAAAATAAAAAATAAAAATAAAAAAAGACAATGATTGGAGTAATATTTTCCTTTTTTTTTATTCAAGGTCTCGACTCCGAAAAAAACGATAATCACAAGAATTATACATATATTTTTTCAGTAATTAGAAAAATAATCTTTCTTTTCCCCTTCCACAGCATAGGTTTACTAATTTTTCTATGAGTCGAGCATAAATTCTAATCTTTCCTGATTTATGATTTTTTATTTTTTTCACAATGACCACTTATTCTAGGAAAGAGAGAGTGTTTCTCTTTTTTACTATAATAAATTCTATTTTATTTATTTCAATTTAAATAATTCTAAGTGAATAAAATATTTTCGTTACTATTTAATTAATACAGATTACATATGCAAATACCAAAATCACTGAGAATGAAAAATGTAAGAAATTACAATAATATTCTTTTTTTATTAGAAAAAATGAACAGAAGGTAGGTAATTATACAATTGACGTAAATATATCATCAATCATAAACATTAGTGTAGACAAGATTCGAGCTTTCAATAATCGCTATGGAAGATTTTAGAAGTGTTTAAAAGAATAATACTAATTATTTTTTAAAATATTTTTTACTTAAATATATATTAAAATATCAAAACAATTTGAGAACAGTAAAAAAATTAATTGGAAGTAAATAAAAAATAAAATAAAATTTTTAATTTTTTTAAAATACTTTTAAAACATAAAAACAAATGTACTTTTTAATTTTTTTATTTATCTCTCCACCACACTATCAATACCAAAGAATCACTTTATAGTAAGTTCGTTCTTGAAATTATTTTCCACTTAGTTACATGATCACACCATGGCATAAGATGTGAAGCCGGGATTAAAGAAGATTTTTTTTTTTTAAAAAAAAGAAAGGAATAAAGCACGACACAGAATAAAGGCAAGGATATTTGAGTAGTATTTAGCCACCCATTAATTTATTATAATCAGACCAAATAATTAAAGGGAAAAAGAGAGATCATACCCATTGTTCAGAATCGAATCCCACCTGCAGATATCACAGAATACCAACTCATTCACTACAAAATAAGGCTTGTGATGAGGCTGGCATGCCGATGAGTGATGAAGACTCTTTGCTGGGCACGTCAAGTCAAAGATAAGCATTGTTCGAAGAAACTCTTTGTTTTCATGTTCTAAAACTGTTTTTAAAAAATATATTTTTTATTTTTATTTATTTGATATTTTTATATCATTTTGATATTCTAATGTTATAAATGATTTTTAAGAAATAAGAATAATACTATTTCAATATATTTTCAGATAAAAAATACTATAAAATACAATTATTATTGTAATATTAAATATGCTCTAACATGCTATCTACTATGTGCATATATTCATGTCTATCCTTTATATTCTCATATCGTGCGGGTCCTCCAAAGTTATTTTTGCATATCAACTTAAGTAGAACAAGAAATCAATTTATATTATATATGCCTGAAATGAAAGATACTAAAGAAAATGGAGGATAATCCCCGCCAAGGAGAAGATTAATTTGCTCTAATGGCAAGATTATGTAACGCTGCTTGTGCAAGATACTTTAAAAGTTTCTGTTAATAATAATTTGAAAACTAATTATTATCATATTCTTAAATATTCTCTAAATATTAATGGGTGAAACCCATTAATATATATATAAAAAATTTGCTTATACAACATTGGGTGAATTTTACCATCAAGATCCGTTAGGTTCATCATTAAATTCAGGATTAAACAATATGGATCATTAATATTAAAAAAATATAAATAGAGAGAATTAATATTTCATTCTATAGTTCTCAATCTATTATTCCGTGAACTTTTATTTTTCAAATTACCTAAATAATTAATTAAATGCATGACTTAATATTATACTAAATTAAAATGATTTTAAGCTCTATGGATATGTCAATCATATGCAGAACATGTAAAAACATAAGAAAATTCTTTTTTTTAAAAAAAATCAGATAGACTAGACCTCTCTCCCTCTTTAAAACTACATTGCTCTCCTCTTCTATATTTCCCTCTCCGGTGATCCTAACTCCTTCAACTATGTTGTTATTTTTTATATAATATTATATTGTGCACATAATTAATTATGCTGATTTAAAAAGAAAAGGTTAACTGAATTATAAATTGATTTTTTTTTCATTTTATAAATATAACATTACCTTAATCAATGATATAAAAAAAATTGAAAATCAATATAACTATAAAAAAATAAGAATATTGTAGTATACATTGAAAAACTTGAGGTGGAAACAATGTTAATATGAACAGTTTTTATTTTTTACTGGTACTTCAATTTTTTTCCATTAGCATCTTTTTTTTTATTCTTTTGCTTCCCATTTAAATCATTAATTATAATGCTAACCTACTAATTTAATTTCAAATTAATTAGAATTCTATTCATTAGAAATATAGAGTTTCTTATCTTATCTATTATTTATTACAAATATAAACAATATCTTCCTCTTATGATTTCTTCAATGTTTATTTTTACAAATGTTTTTTTTTACTAGGCCTGCATTCATTAAGTGGCATAAGAATTATATCCCTAAGAGACATAATAAAAATAAATTTTAACATTGAGTTAATGTTTAATTGGATAAAATAAAATTTTATTTTATTAATTCAAACTAATTAAAATTTTAAAGATCTAATTTTAAACTAAAACAAATATTTAACCTTTTCGTTTTTAAAAAATAATATTTTGTGAAATCTAATTTTTTTTTTTTAAGGATTGAAACCAACTTTTGATCTGCCCGCGTACTAATTATTTTGTGAAATCTTTATCTCCTACGAACTAAGGGTTTTTGTTCAAGGAAAACTCAATTAAACTTGACATCGTGCTTGCATTAAATTTGTTGGACCCCACATTAAAGAACCGTTTCTCCCCGTAAAAAGGTTTCTTTGGCTTCTCATTTTCTTCCTTAAAGATCCTTAAATACATGCAAAATTGAAGCCTAAAAAAAGCTTGCATATTTATGGCCCCTTCCATGAAACAGAAGGTTTCAACTCAGTCCTCTGCCTGTCTTGCATAAATGGCTCGGTCTCTTTACATGTGAATATGACATGGCAAAAAAGAAGGTCTAGATAGAGAGACTTGGAGGGAGATCTTTGAGAAAAAGAAAAGAGAGATGCTTTTTCTAATTTACTCAGTGTAGACTGTAGAGTGCTCTTCAAAGACCAGCCTTTCCTGAAATATACAGTTGCCAAATAAGTAACAGTTCGCTTTTTTTTGTTCCCTTGGTTATTTCAGCTGTCACTTTCTTGAGGTATGTATACCTGTTTGTTGATCTTCTTTTTTTTTGTTTTTGTTTTTGTAATAACTAATAAGAACTTAAATTTTGATTTTAAATTGTTAGAGATGAGATTGACAGTGAAACAAGTCTGCTTTTTGTCTGCTTATTTCATCAGTTACTTTACCACCAGCACTGACCTACATTCCTCATTTTTGTCCTCAATTTAGATGTGCTAGCAGTTTTTACCTGGCTTTTTTAAAGCTTTTTTCATTGACTGCTTCTTTCAGAAATGCATCAAACTAGACTGCACCCAGATCAAAATCAAGTCTTGATTAGCTGTTTTTGAAGCATTTCTTATGTGGGTTTTTGAGATAAGAGCCCTTTCTTTTCTTAACCTCTAGTTTTGCTTTTTATTTACTGTTAGCTCAGTTTCTGATTCTTTTTCTGTTGTGTTATTTTTAGCTGCAAAATTTGGGAGCAAGTGTTTGTGAAAAGTCTTAGAGAGAGTTTTGGAGTATCTTTAGTGTCAAAATGAGAGATTTCCCATCTTGTTTTGGTGAAAATGGGGTTCAAGTGGCTGATTCTTCGTCTTCAAATACTAGTAAAAATGCACAGAATTTGGTTACTTGTGTGTATCAATGTCGAATTCGAGGCCGGTCTTGCTTGATCACTATTATATGGAGTAAGAATTTGATGGGTCAAGGTCTAAGTGTAGTGATTGATGATTCTGCAAATCATTGTTTATGTAAGGTTGATATTAAACCGTGGTTGTTCTCAAAAAGAAAAGGGTCCAAGAGTTTAGAGGCATATTCTTGTAAAATTGATATATATTGGGACCTTTCATCGGCTAAATTTGGATCTGGGCCTGAACCATCAGAGGGATTTTATGTTGCTGTTGTTGTGGATAGCCAAATGGCTCTCCTTCTTGGGGATATGAGAAAAGAAGCTTTCAAGAAAACTGGTGCCACTCCTATTCCTTCCAATGCTGTTTTTGTTGCGAAAAGAGAGCATGTTTTTGGCAAGAAAGCGTTCCGTACCAAGGCTCGGTTTTGTGACAATGGTCAAATTCATGATCTCGTGATTGAATGTGACACGATTGGTGTCAGTGACCCATGTCTTTTGCTTCGTGTGGACTGTAAGACAGTGATGCAGGTGAAGCAACTCCGGTGGAAGTTCCGGGGGAACCATACCATATTGGTTGATGGGCTAGCAGTTGAATTGTTTTGGGATGTACATAATTGGCTCTTTGGTACATCAGTTGGAAATGCTGTTTTTATGTTCAAGACTTGCTCCTCAGCTGAGAGGTTGTGGGCTAGCCAACCGCTTTCAGATCCAAATGTGTTGCCATGGTCCTTCTCCCAGAGATTTCTGGATTCCAGATCACAAAATCTTGGTTTTTCATTGATTTTGTATGCTTGGAAGCATGAATAGAGACTCAGAAATTCTTATTTGAGAGCTAACAAAAACATTAGTGAGCTGTGAATTTTATTAATTATGCCGGTTACACTTAGTTTTATTAAACGAGATCCATTTGTTTACTTCACCTGTTTTCTTGAAAACTTTAGCAATTGAATGGATCACATAAAATTTTGTGTTTTCAGTTGGCTGTTCTACCTTCATGATGTGTTTCTCAATTTCATTTTTATGGTTCTTATTGGAAATCCAATACAAAGAAAAATACTTCTGTTCAATATAGCTTTTTTTTTTTTTTTTTGTGGCATGAATTTGTTGAAACCACATGCAGCTTTTAGCGTGTCATGCCTCAGAGGCTTTTCACAATGAATTCCTCGCTATGAATTCATGGTATGGGATAACTGAACTGTGAGTACGTACTCCCTTCTAAAGTTGCTCCAGCCGATGCCAAAGTTATATTTGGGTGATTTACCACTAATTGGAATCAATCTCCTTGTGATGCAGGTGCCCTGGTTATTTCATCAAACGAGGGGAGTCAAAGTTCAAGGGGTCAGTGCATGTTTTGTATTCATGTCAGTTGGCTTGTTAGCTAGAAGGTGAAGAGAGCACTGTGCTATAAGGTATTTAACTCGAGTGATGCTGTTTCTTATTCTTTGGTCTCAAGGGTGGTGGCAAAGTAGCCCATTGGCTATGGGGCACGAACGGTATCAGACACTCTTTTTTTCATGCACGGTACTGTTGTGGTCGTTGGTGTTTAAAGTTGATCCTTTCCTCCCTGTGTTGTGTCCGTAGTTGTGGTCTGTGAAACAATATAAATTGATGATCATACGAGGGGGCTGGTAGTTTGTTTAGAAACAAATGCCTACTTTTGATGAATACACAGCTTACTCATTACATATAATTTTGCTTTGGAGTTTGCTATTACGAGCATAGAATATTTAGTTGTGAATGTCAAAAGTTCAAACCTTGCATGGCCTGGCCAGAGAAGCCCAGTGTGAATCTCCTGGGCGATTATTCTACCTATGGCAGTAGATACTGGATGGAAAGCCTGCACAGGGTAAAGGAGTATAGTTGTTGAACTTGAGAGGCTATCGGACTTCTGTTGAAAATTCAAGCTCTAAACTCCACTGAAATTGATGTGGTGATTTTGTTATTTCCGCCTTGATTATTGTGTTTACTGCTGTTCCAGCTCGCTTCCTTGCTCTTTCATAGCTGGTTCTTAACCACTGAGGAGACAAAATAACAAGCTTTTCTGTCTTCTGTGCTCTTTTCTGTTTAAAGGATGAAGATCAATTATAATAGGTAATGTCAAAGATCTGCAGGAGGTTTTTTCTTTTCAGAACTACACACTTTTTAACATTCATACTTCTTTGAATTTACCTCTGTTCACTTGTTTTGTAGTTGATTCAATTAATGTTAGGTGATATTTCGTAAATTCATTCATCTTGCATCATGCTTCTAGCAACCTTATGACACATTGAGATTCTTTGGTCCTGCATTTCTATGTTTTGGCTTTACGTTTACAACATATTTAGATGTGAAGTATGATGCGAGTCCTTTCACCAAATTGTTCATAGTTTCTAGGTTAGATGCTTGAACGTGATATTAGTTTTCGTCATCATATTGTGTTCTGTGGTGGTTCGCCTTGGTAGTTGGTGTCCAGTCAATTTCTGTTTGTTTGATTGTGGAAACTAACATGCGAATCCGGTACCCAATTTTATGATAAGATGAAGACTCTGCATTGTCTGCAATCTCAGCTAGTAGCTCTTGTTAGTCTAGTTCAAGGACTATGATTTAAACATGCGTGCTCATGTGCATAATGATTCGAGTCTTGTACTATTCTTCGTGTCAGTCTCAATTTGAATCTCTACCTGGCATTTTTTGACATGGAAGATTGCTGTAAATTCATTAATTTCTTTCTTGAATCAAAATCTTGAAAGCTCAGGTTGTTGACTGTCATCTTGTTCACAAAATTGTTGCCTGATATGATATTTCATTTGATGCCGCAGTGCATATACGTGACAAAAAAGTACAGGAGTAATTGCGACTTACAACTGCATATAAGCTTAGAGTTGTCACTGTGTTCAGAAATATCCTACATGATCCAAACTGTTTAACGCTTTAATTTCAGCTACAGAACAAAATAATGCAGATGCATGGTTCTCTGTGAACTGAAGCCAATCTTGTAATAGGGTGGCTGGCATGCTGACTGCTTGTTGTGAGGTCCTATTCCAATTGTTTCAGACAAAAACGAAAGTCCTATTCCAATTGCTCCTGGTCTAGAGCTACACTTTTGTCGAGATTTTAGGCTGCATCTTGTGAATAGATTAGCAGAATCTCTTAGCAAGACCAGATATCTTTTCAAAACTTTTTAATCAATTGTACAAAGCTACAGGACTAAAAACCACTGTTGTCTCCTGCAAGTGGCCAAAGCTGTCTTGATAGGTGGAACTCACGGGTACAACAGTTAATTGAGATCTGTTAAGGAAGTTCGTGATTTTATATACAGTCATGGATTTGTTTTTAGAGGCACTCTGTCAGTCTAACTATTAACTAGTCCCGATGTTCTGCTCGGATCAAAAGTCAATTTTACATTCAACGAAAAATCTGAAATGCAATCTGAAAGCTTATTACCTTGTACATTAATAAATGCTAAAGAGAGTTGTTAACGACGTACTACCACTGAACTGAGAAGCTAAGCAATGGATATGGATAAACAGACATGGTCTTGCCTGTATTATGTTATTTAACATCTTTTTTCAATTATATATTGATATTTTTATGAAAAAATATCAAAGAATTGAAAATCAAATAAAAAGAATTGAAGAACATCAAATAATCAATGATTAACTTAAAAAAAGAATAGACATGTGAAAAACACATATCTGTGTGTGAGGAAGCCCATCATATTGGAAAGGTGCAAGTAGATTCCTCTGAGCCCTGTTGACAGTCTTCCTAAGTGCTGCCAGGGGCTTCTCTCAATGTTGGCAGAGTAACCAGAGGGTGGCTTTAGGAGCTTGTTCTTCTTTCTTCCATTTTCTTCTCTCTTTTCTCTTGCCTCCCTCAATTTTCATGCTTGACCTGGAAAAAAAACATCATTGTTGTGAGGTCATCCATAGTGTATCCTCCATGCCTTTTAGCTTTATTGTTAATGTACACATAAGCATAACCACAGTGAACTAAACCAATTTGGCAATCTATCTCTTTTTTCTCTTCCTTTTTTGTTTTCTTGGGCCTTCATTGGATTCAGATGGGATGAAATGTGAAATTAAATTGAAAAATTATAAAAAAACTAAGGATCAAATTAAAAAAATTAAAGAGATATAAAAGAATAAGGAGTTAAATTTAAAAAAATGGTTGATGCGTAAAAAACATGAGTCATGGTATGAGGAAGCCCATAGTTTTAAAACCCGGCCCGGCCCGGTAAGGAAGCCTGCTGCATTAGAGAGGTGCATGCAGATTCCTTCAAGCCTCTATGGTAACGCCACCTAACATATCAAATAAGATGACAAGTGAAAGTTTTTAGCTCTCAAAACACGTCTTACACACCTTCAAAATAGCACGCGGGACGTTGACATGCTGGCACGTGAATAAAACACGCTAACCTCTTTAATTAATTTTTTAATATTTAAAAAATAAAAATTACTAAAAAGGACCTAAGGACATATGGTTTTAAGAAAAATCAATTTGCAAAGATTAAAATGCCCTCCCAACCAGGTTTTTTTTTAGTCAAAGGTTATACATGTAATTTAATTGTTCAAAAATTGTGTAAAGACGACGGAAAACCAAAAAAATCTTCTAAGGGAATCGTTAAGTGCAGTGAGATAAAATATTCAAAACGCTTTCTCAATCCAAATTGTTTCTTCTCATAATAAACACGAAAAAGATGAGCCTTTTATTTTTATTTTTATTTTTATTTTGTAATTTTTCTGGTTTAATAGAGTGAGGGATCGTGGGCCATAGTCACTTCATGAAGTAATAGGTTACTATTTGCTTGAATCACGAGCACAGAAGTTGTGAATACAAAGGACAAAGGGAGAATAGTATTAGCTTAATCCTTGCGAAGAAAACAGTCCGAAGAACTTTGTCTCGAGGAGAACATCTCTATTCAAAACCTATCCTTCTTGGAACTTGTTGGAGCCCACCTAACTCCAATTCATGTAGTCTAAGAAAGAATGCCATAAAGAAAGCAGCAGTAAAGCTGGGAATTGAAGATTGTGTTCTACAAAAACACTCTTAGATTTAGGTCATCTCCATTCACAATTCTTCAACTATCCAGTGGAATTCAACCATAACATGTGCCTATTAAAAAATTCAATCAAGCTTAGAAGCATGCATAAAAAAAATGATTTTTTTTTTAAATTTTTGATGTCAACTCATCAAAAATCACTAAAAAACAATAATTTGATATAAACATTAGTTGAAAACACCAATAAATGTTCTTTGACATGCTTTGAGTCAAAACCAAGTAGCAATGACGAAAAAGAAAAAGGAAAGCAATGGTGATTCGAACAATTACTTGCGAGAGAAGTTACATAAAGTACTACAGAACATGTCAAATGCTAGAAACTGATCCTCCTGTAATAAATATGACTCCTACCATCTCGGTATCCTGTATCTATAAATATCTATTTTATCTACACTACAAAATAATCAAGGAAACCGTAAAATGAATTCATCCCTAACCATAAAATTCTCCTACCAATAAAATCAAAGAATACGAGTATCCTACCTTGTAGATGCAAGACAGTTATATCATGTTAACCATACACATTTGTAAAGCCAGCATACTGCTCATCTGAATTATTAAATTGGAGACTTGCGAGTAAATCATACTTTGACATCAATGTCCACACGGGTTTTGATTGGTTTGAGCTTGATACCCAGACTCTCAGGGGAGAGAAGTTCTGGTGCTATACAGCAGCGACTTGAAGGACTGGTAGGGTTGGAGCCAATACTTGATGAGGAAGCAAAATACGGTTGTCTGTGGTACCCAAACCCCATTAGAAAAAACTCTATCGGAATTATCATGGCATAAGGGTGCTCTTCTGTGACTAATGAACCACAAGCTTCAACCTGTTGGAGATACAAATAAACACTATTAAGATGCAAAAAGGAAATCAAGCACCTTAAACTTGAAAGTGATCTTAAATAAACTTCCAATAATATGTCCATATATTTTTTAGAGTACAGTATCAGGTGTACTTGCAAAAGCAGACATACTGCAGGTGATCTCATTTTTAGTTAATAGTCATCCTTTCATGCAGTAACATATATGCCTTGTCAACATTATGATCCAACAAGGTATAATCCTTTCATGCAGTAACGTATATGCCTTGTCAACATTATGATCCAACAAGATGACCAATTAGGCCATGGAAATTTCAGTGTTTTTAATTGTATTGCTAGTCTTACCAAGAAAATTGGATCTGTCAATGTTGTTAATGTCAATTGGGAAGAGAATAATGTTGCTGATAGCTTAGCAAAACATGCCTTGGTAAGGAAGGAAGAGTTATTGGCATGGTTGTAATCTTTTTCTCAGCCTTTAGAGTTACTTTCTTTATGGTTCTTTTTGGGTTATAATACAACTTTTCAATTTTCATAAAAAAATAATTATTAATTACGCAATTATTATCACTAAACCTTGCGTATGTTAAAAAAGCCAACTGCTCATAATGAAACAAATAGTCTGAAGAAGTGAAACCACCCTACCTCAACAAGAGCACAAGTTTTCTTGCCCATTTTGGTACTCATGTATACCGATTCATCACGAAATTGACTACTTTCCCCCACAAAAATAAGTGTCCTGCACTGCAAATTCTCCAAGCCCTCTGTAAGGTCATACCTCCTGCTTAATAAAACACCTTGATAATTAGTTGATCATAGGCATTTTTACAAGACAGTGGCTATATATGTTACGCAATTAGTTTCAAAACTTTGTAGCAACTGGCTAAGTTACAGTCTCATGCAGACATGCTAGTTTAAATGGCACCACAAAATGAAAGCATTCAGTAGTCAGCAGAAGAGATTCGAGCTAATGATGTATGAACAAGAAGATGCTTAAACAAGTTACAAATACTCACTCATTGATTGCTTGAAGAAAGCGCATTACATTCAAACTTTTTCTTTCATCCAGCAACTGCCAACAAATGATAAATGAGATTGACATCAAATATCTCAAAAAGGCACCTTATAGGATGTACCCTTCCTAGACACTGATAAGAGTGACAGGCTGCTCTGACAATATATCACAAAGGGTTAGGGTGTTTTTGGTATCGCCAATTCTGAGACTGTACAAGTCAAATGGAATTAACAGGAAATAAGACATTGAAACCAAGAATCCTTACCCTTCTACAAGCTTGAATGATGTCTGCTTCTGCACCCTGCACACTGCACCTAATTTCCTACATTCAGAATCTGATAATTATACATCACATTCCAAAATTGGAAAAGATAAAAAAAAAAAAAAAAGGTCATCAATAGTACCTTACTGAAGTAACGCTGGAGAAGGCATTCCTTCAATATTCCACACATTCCGTAGAAGTATAACAAGTTCATTAACACCTGAAAAGGCAAGTCCAGTAAAACCCTAAGCAACTTGGATTACTGTGAAGATGTGTGAAACAGTGTGTATATTAGTTTTATCCTAATCTTTTTTAGGTGTCCCAGGTGAATGGTTTCCTTCAAATTTATATTTTTTCCTCAAAAAAAAAAAAAAAAAGTAGCCTTGACTTGAAGATGGAGAGTAAAACCTTATTGTAAAACCATTCAGTCCATGAAGGTGCCTTGCAAATAGGGGAAACAAGAATTAGCCCAAGCACCCGTTCTTGATATCTCATCTGTACCACAAGGAAAAATAAGCATGTATCAGAACATCAGGGTAAAAACAGAGGCAACTGACATGGGTAGACTCTTCCCAACTTACAGTAAAAAGTGTCAGGATGTAAGCACCAGCCATTACGCCTAAGCACAGAACCTGTTTCAGCCTGATTTAGAAAAGTGAGTTAGTTCTTAAACATACTGTAACATGTCTTCATGACAGAGATAAATCACTTATAGGTTAGATTAGGATTCCTCTTAGGACCTTTACATGAGAAAAACATTGATAATTCACATTTCTGGACACTAATCTTGTGTATCAGGAAATGAATTCTGCCTACCATTGCAGCAATTTTGCAGAGTGAATCCTATTTTGGTTTGAAACTGCAAACATTTAATGACTCAAGACATTTATCAATACACTAGGTAACTGCCCTTCCTAATTGATCTTCGCTCCTGCTCCCCAAATCTCAGTTTCTAAAAATTTAGCTAGTTATAAACAACAGGAACTCTTTATTGGGAGCTCTATTGAATAAGACACAAAATTAATGCAGTGCATGACAGAACTTTGTGCAACTGGTGTTGCAGAAGAAAAACAAAATTCCAGATAGCTGAGCCTGCCAAAATCAATAGGACTCCTAGACAAATGGTGGTCAATGGTTCATAAGTAATCAAGATAACAGAACAACAAAATGAACCAGACCTTTAGCATGAAAGCACTAATAAGAACTGATCAGACAACCAACTTGAAAACAAACAAGAAGAAGATCAAATCTTCTCATTGGTACACAAAAAATTCATAATTGGAAAAGCATATAAGAAACCAGTAAATGCAGCAAGCAGTTAAATACCCGAAGAAATCAAGCACTTCAGCAACCTGGTCTGCTAAGTCATCAACACTAAGTAATGGAACATCAGAAGAAATGACATCAGCTCCCAACTGCAAGAGCTCTTGAACAAAGGGTGGAGAGAGACTTTATTAGCATCGTTCAAAAGGGGAAAAAAAGAAGAGATAATAAAACCATAAACAAACAAAATTAAACAATTAAACTCCGCCAACGTTAAACAACCAACAGCGACACTGACCTCATGCCCTGGGGCATCAATGTGGTATATGCAGAAGTTATGGAGCAACAAGGAAGCTGCATCAGGGCTAAATAAGAGACCTTGGAAACAAGTCATAGCTGTGAAAAAACCCAGAAAGCAAAAAACACCAACATATCAAAAACACATGCTCAGATCTTTTCAATTAGAAGCAACTAAAGCAAGCCAGCTCAATAACACTTAAACTCGTTCTTTCTTCACTAAAAGTCAAGAATCAATTAAGAACCATAAAAAATCTAAATATTAAGAATTTAATTATCATAAATATGCTTAGATTAAATTAAAAGCATCCATTACAGCTGCTTTCAAGGAACTCAGTCTGAACCACCCCATTTCTTGTAAAACAAAGCACTGCAGTTACAATTTTTCTTCAAGAGCACAGAAAGTATAACAAACTTCCAAGCAAAAGCACCAAAAAAGCCCGGAAATAATTGAATTTCACCTCACATCAGCTAAACACACAAACCCATTGAAGGTAAATGAAAGAAAATCTAAAAGAAAAATAGCCCATTAAGTAAAAAGAAGAAGAAATTACAAGAAAATGGAACATACAATTAAGAGCAACATCAGGGTAAGTTATCAAAGCAGGCTTCTCTTGATCACCACAAACATACACAGAGATTGAACCTCTGCTTGTTTTCACCACATGCTCCTGCTTACATTACACATAACGCCAAAATCCATTAATAAAGCTTAAAGCTTGTAAGCCACGGAGTGTAATCAAGAAAACAAGAAAGATATCATTTTTCCCCCTTCTTCTTGTTAGTTACAGTTCGTTAATTACCTTCCCACCAAAAGATAGCATGTCAATATCCACCGAAACTGAGTCACTTGACTCACCCATGACTCACTTCTTTCAACACTCACAATGCAGCAGCAATACAAAAACTAAACAGCAACTCACTGAATTGAAGTTATCTCTTCTTGTTTCTTCGTCTTCTTTCTGAACTCTCTCTCTGGGTCCTCTCTCGTTTTCTTTCATTTTCAGAACTTAAAAATACTAAACTGCCCCAATTAAGTCACTGAAATTACATCAAATCTACGTTTGTTTTTGCAAAATACCAAACTTGCCCTATGGTCAAAGATGTTACTATGGTCTTCTTGTTTGTTTTGAGGGTGAAAAAGTGACCGTTGCATTTGCGTAGAAGGGTAAAATGGTCAATTTGAGGTCATTATGGTCAGTGAGAAAGCGGCATCGTTTTCTGGTGATTGAGGTCATTTCATAGATAGGTATCAGACAGCTGTATGCCACCTGGAAGCTGGAAAGGGTGATGGTCCCATTGGGTTACTCTATCATAGTGCGCCAGCTCATCATTGTCCATGCTTGCTGTTGTATACCTCATTTAGCCACTCCAATCATTAATGATGAAGATGATGATAATATTGTATAGTTATTATTTTTAGAATAAAGTTTTGTTCTCTAATGTTAATTTTCTATGGTTTGCGTTGTCTTGATTTTACGAGGCACATGGAGTGTGGCAGCTAGATTAGTTGTTAAACTTCTTTTGTTTAGATACTGTTTGGGTCGTGGCTGTACTTATCTTTAATGCAATTTTAATTTTTTAATATTTTAATATTTTTAAATCATTTTAATATGTTAATAATAAAAATAATTTTAAAAAATAATATTTATTATACTTTCAAATAAGATATCAATCTAATTATAATTTTTAATTAGTTCACCTATTACCTACCAGCTTAGCACCTTTTAAAAACCTTGATTGAGAGACTATGGTGAGGGATTTAGATCCATTCAAGGGCAAGATAAGGGTTGAATTATATATATTAAAAAAAACTCATTTTGCTTAGAAAAAAATTGCATTTTTAATGATATTAGGTTCAAGAATACTAATATAAATTTAAACATGTCATTCAATAGTTTTTTATTTTGTTGATGGCGTTTAAATAAGAAAAACAAAAAAGAATAAGATTGTATATTTGTTGAATTTAGTTCAATTTTATGGTTTGATTTGAAAAATTTATAACATAAATCTAATTTAAAAGGGATTTTAAATTGAAGTGATTTGAAACTAACTCTTTAATTTAGTTTGTTAAATTTTGTTCATGCTCAGTCGAGTTAGAATTTAAAAAAAAAAAATATATGCTGTTTTAGACAAAAAAACAACAACAATAATAAAATTATCCTAAAAAAATTAAAAATAAATAAATATATGCTGTTTTAGACAAAAAAAACAACAACAATAATAAAATTATCCAATGAAAAATTGTTAAAGTGTAAAACATGGGAGCTCGATCGTGGTATAAACTCCCAAGATTAGCGGGTCATTATTATCGAAATAAAGGATGAATCAGGATCACTCATCATCCCCAGTGGAAAGTACTCAAAAACTTGGGACAGGATTGGTCTGTCATTTGCAGTCGGAAAACGCGTTTTTGAACGGCAATCACGGGCACTGCAAAACATGCACGGCCCCAATAGTCTACTCCTTCACTGCCATGTAGAATTCGATGCTTTGTGTGTTTTGACTAGCCTCGTCCTCTTTTTGCAACAAATTTACACCAACTTCTCTGTGATGATATTTTATGTTTTAAAAATATTTAAAAAAAATATTAAATTTTTTATTTTTTTAAATTAATTGGTTTTATTATTTTGAGTTATTAATATAAAAAATAATTTTTAAAAAATAAAAAAATACTTAAAAAACAACTATTAAAAACACTTTTTAGCTGCCCAACCAGCCCAACCAACCCCCTTTATTGCTTGTGTTTTCTTTTGCAACAGACACAAAGCCCATTGAACAACATTTGTTGAGATCTTGAATGGATCCATAGATCCAATAAATTCACTAATCTAATTTCTTAATTACTGTGATTTGACTTAATTTGAACATCACTTGAGACTTCAACATCAACATACAAATTTAAAGGGAAAAACTAAACCATCTAGAACGTGACTTGGTGATAAAAATTTAAAATCACAGGGTTTAATTTTTTTTTTTAATATGAGATTTACTTCATTGTTAATTTTAAAATTTATAAAAATTAATCAAAAAATATATATATATATCTTAAATATCCTATATAAATAAATAAATAACTAGCCTAAAAAAAATTAAACATGATTTGCATGTCAAAACAATTAGTATTAAATGTTAATTGTTTAATAACAATTAAACTCAGGTTAATTGTTTAATTCACTCTGGACTTATTTAGTATTATAATTCAATTGTATTTTTAAATTTTGTTAAAAAATTTTGATTTTGATTTTTTATATGATTTTAAATTATTTTAATATGTTGATATTAAAAATAAAATTTAAAAAATAAAAAAATATTAGTTTAATATATTTTCAAATAAAAAATATTTAGTAACAAAAAACATAAATGCAAGCTTTTATCTTTTCAGTGATGATAATTTATAAACACATCAAGTAAGAATCTGGTTCACATCTATAAGTAAAAATAGGATTATGATTTCAATATTTTTAATTTAAAAGTCAACATGATAGGAGCTTGAAGTAAGCTATCTAACATGACCCGGGAATCAAACATTGTATTAAACTTTAAGTTTACAAGAATATAATTATAAATAGTAATAAAAATGTTTAATTTATTTTTTTAATCTCTTTTTTCTCCGTTCCTGGCTGTCAATAAAATTCTAAAACATAAAAAACCCTTTTCTTTTTCCTTTTCTTTCTTCTCGAAAAGAAAGAAAAATCATTTTCACCTTATAAACTTTGTATTCTCCAATGTTCTTTGTTTTATATTGGCCAATCTCTCTTTATATTTATAGTTCCTACTATATATATATATATATATGTTTGACAATAATTATGTAGTATTTAATTTTCTTAGAAACCAAATAATGAATTTAGTTTTAAGTCACTGTTAACATGAATAATCATCATGATTGTATAAGATATCACAAACACACGCATGCACAAAATCCGAATTTCTTAAAATCCTACGTATTAGAATTATGATACGTGGCAAGTAAATTTAAATAATTATTTTTTAAAAAATAAATATAAAAAAATGAAAAAAATCACGGCTTATAAAAATTATAAGAATATTTCTATTTAGAATTTCCCTTTTATATTTTATATTTGTATCGACTTTTTTAAAATGAATAATATGAAATAAGAAATATAACACTACTAATTACTTTCTAAGAATCATAAAATTACTTCTCAACCTCAAACTCAAACCATTTTATCCTTGGAATGGTTATTTATTTTAACTGCATGGGATTAGGTGTGAATAAAATTGTTAAATTTTCGAGTTAACTTATAATAATTTTACAGTTTAACATATATTTATTATATAGATTATTAAAAAATTTGAAAACCTATAAAATTAGACTAAAAATTATAATTTGGTAAAACATGTTAGCTCGTGATTTTAATACTAATTGTATATTTTCATTTAATATATCAATTTTGTCTAATTGTTAAAAAAAGAAGAAGAAGCAAGAATTAAACATTATTTTGATTTTTTTATTCATCCTTAATTTAGATAATACTTGAGCGAACAGTAGTTATTGTTTTTTAAAATATTTGTTTCTTGAAAATATATAAAAAAATATTTTTTTTATTTTTTAAAAAATATTTTTGATATATATACATTAAAATAATAATAATAATTTTTTTTTAAATCACGAAACACGATTTCTACAGAAAAACAAATATCACAAACCTAGCCTTAGCACCGGACACCTAAGAATGAAAATCAAAATCTCCAACTCTCACATTCACGGCCACCAACTCTGACAGGAGCGATCAGCAGCTCACTCTCCTTTCTCTTCAAGCCCAAGCTGCTGTGCTTTGTTTTCTCCTTCTTCATAGCCATCAGGAACACGACGTAGTGGCAGAGATGCAGACAAGAACACATCATCAAAGATGTTGGTTTTGATGGCCCTCATTACTTAACCAAATTTCAGCCTCATAAAGTGTTTTTTTTAATCAATCTTTCATGCAACCAGTTCTTTATCCTTGATTTAGTAAGGCTGTTGTTATCTAGGAAAGGGGTTTTGATTTTCTCGATGGGTTCCTTAGTTTCTTTATCCCTTTTCCATCGAAAGAATGGCTTCATGTGTGTGTATACAAAAGCAACCCCACAATCTTATCTTCTCTTCGTGTATTGGGTGTTTAAAAGTTTGGTAATATTTATTTTTAAAAATATTTTTTATTTTAAAATATATTAAAATAATATTTTTTAAAATTATTCTGGATAAGATATCAAAACAATAAAAAATATATATAAAATAATTTTAAATAAAACAATTAAAACTCAGTTGTTTTTATATAAAATTGTTTTAACATGTTATATTAAAAATAAATTTTAAAAAATAAAAAAATAAATTTTTTTAATACAATTAAAAAAAACATTAAAACTGCCTTGCATGTAATCTCTCATTTGTTAATCCATGTGATTTCTTATTTGTCAAGTTGGTTGGTACATGGCATTGTACTAACATGGATGTTATTTGTTCAAATAAATAATTATTAGTTAATAAAAATCTATGTATATTAATATTTTATTTTAAAATTATTTAAATTATATTTAAATTTTTACATGAATTTAAAGATAAAAGAATTTACTTATAATTTTACTAATAGGATTTACAATTTAAGTTTTCATTATATATAAATTATATTTCATGAATAATATAATTTTTTTTTAATGATGGATAAGGATACAAACAAACAAACCTAATGGGTTTAGGGTTTTGGACCAAATTTACCAAACCATTAAAAAACAATTATGCTTTCTTTCCCATCTTCTTAACTTATCTTATCTAGAGCGTATTTGGGATGCTAATTACTTATTTTTACATAATCAGTCTGTGTATCTGATTTATAAGAACAATTAGGATTTTTAATGGTCAAAATATTAGGTGATGACTTCTAATTTATTTTTTCACTAATAAAGATAAAAATTCTTTATTTCCTTACATTTGCTATATTTTAGATAAATTTTTTGAAATGAATTTTTTTC